GTACCATCGGTCCCGCGACATCGTGACATCGGGACCGCGACGTCGCGACATTGGTTCCGCGACGTCGCGACATCGGTTCCACGATGCGGTTTTCATACTTAGCCATCTTAGTACTGTTATTTTTCCAGGGAGAGATTCGACCCCAACAGTTGTCCAAAAAAAAAAAAGAAATTACAAGTTTTATATCAGAAATGAACAAAAAAAAGCAAACACGCTCTTCTTTCTTCTTTCTCTCTCTAAAAACCATTTTTTTTTTGAGCACTTTTCCGATCTAAGGTGGTTCTCTGGCCGGCGGTGGATGCTTCTTTAGCCACATCGTCGGTCCGACATGTATATATGTCTTATTTCCTTTCGTTTTATGTATCCCTCGTTTTAGATCTATAGTTAGATCCGACTTGTCCCGATTAGTCTCCGGCCAGATCCGGTTGTTTATAGTCCTTCCGCTTGTCGGATATCGGTTTTCTGGCTTGACCGGATTTGTTTTGCAAGTTTCGATCTCTTTCTCACCTATGTGTTTATTCTTGTCGAAATCTCCGGTTTTCTTCTATATTTCCTCCGTTTTCTCCAATTTCTGGTGGAGTAATATCTTCGTCATGTTACTCTTGCTCACGACGCATGAGCAATGTTGTATTTCAACCTACATCAGTTTTGGGTGTAGCTGTGGCGGAGCTTCCACAGTGTTGGTGCTTTCCGGAGGACTTATGAAGGGGATTGAAAGAATGATTCGCGTTCTGACTTCGGCATCTATTTGATGGTGGGTGAGATCGGCAGAAGGAGAAGGATTCTGGTCGTTCATGGCTAGTTGGTGGCGGCCAATCGGAGTTCGGTGGTGATCCGACGATGATTGACAGTGGTGATGTTTGATTAGTTGATGCGTGGCTACGAATTGTCCACATGTTGTTTGCTAAATCATATGATTTAGGTTTTAGACTGTTAATTATCGCTTGTAAATCCTTCTTGGACTTTTTTTTCTGTAATTGCCCAATGGGCTTTATCGTTGAATCTATTTTGTTTAAAAAAAAAAAAAATCAGAAATGAACATCACTTTTTAATTTTTACTTTAAGCATCTATAAAAAATGGTTACAAGACCCAAAGCCTGCAACTGCAAGTGGCGTGGGTTCACTCGATGGGCCTATAAATATCAAAAACAAAAACCTTTTTTTCCACCATCGCCACTCAAAACGAAATCGTGGCTTACTGACTCTGACCTGCAACAAACACACACACAGACACAGATATTTTCGTTTTTTTTCTTCTCAAAATGGAACCAAATATTTACCAACTTGCCCTTGCGGCTCTCTTTGGAGCTTCCTTCGTTGCAGTTTCAGGGTTTTTCATGCACTTCAAGGCACTCAATCTCGTCCTCGAACGTGGTAGGGAGAAAAAAGACAACACCAACGAAGGTGGTGACTCGCCTCAGCATCAGACCCTCGCGAGGCGGAGGAACCATGTCCGTAGGAAAGGAATCAGCCCCGCTTCGCTTCCTGATGCTACGCCCTTCACGGGAGTAACAGACGGCGGTAGCGGAAGCGGCGGTGATGCAGGGCGAACCAACGGCCATGTTTATGTCGATGAAATCCCTCCTGGTTTGCCTAGGCTTCATACGCCATCTGAAGGTATGTGAGCTTTCTGATTTCCATTACTAAACCTTGATTGATCGGATTGGATTCTGGATGTTGAGTGATGTCTAGTTAGCGTTGACTGGATTAGGTTTTTCTTGTTGAAAATGAAGTCTCAATATGTGTTGTTGTTGATTTTTCCAGGGAGATCTTCTGTACTTGGGACTAGTATCAGGAAAACTGGAAGTTTTGTCAGACCAATTTCTCCAAAATCCCCTGTTGCTAGTGCTAGTGCCTTTGAGAGTGTGGAAGAATCAGATGATGACGATAATATGACAGATAGTGCGAATTTAGATGCTTCCTACTTGCAAGCCAATGGGGAGATGGTGAGTTTTTTAAAATTAAACATTTCTCAATCAATCCCTGTTTTTGTGATTGTATGAGCAAGCGAAAAGGAAACCGGTGAGTGGTCTTACAAGTAAGACTATTTTTTTGCAGCCTGCAGATGCCAACGAAGAGCAAATATCTATGGCTGCTTCAAGCATGATTCGATCACACAGTGTGTCTGGTGACCTACATGGAGTTCAGCCTGATCCTATTGCCGCTGACATTCTGCGTAAAGAGCCAGAGCAAGAAACCTTTGTCCGTCTTAATGTTCCTCTTGGTAAGAATGGTTACTATTTTTTTATTTCTGTCATCTCGCTTGACTTCCGGTTCTTGTATTCTTGGTATTCTTGTCCTGTTATCACAAATCATGACATGTTTGATTTGTAAGCCCCACTAGTTATTTGTTTTTGTTAGTGGCAAGGAATTAAGTGGCACTACAGATAATAGCATAGCTATAGTCTTGAGTGAGACAAGCAAGGGTTAGTTAAAGCTTTACAGTATGTGGGAGCTTAGCCTTTGAAATCCTTAAATTATAGTTTAAGAATTATAGCTTGAAGCAGTTGGAGTTCGTTCAACCCATTTCGTATTAAGATTTTACTTATGATCTGTTTAGAGGTGCCAACGTCTGATGAAGTTGAAGCCTACAAATGTCTGCAAGAATGTCTTGAACTGCGGAAGAGGTATGTCTTCCAAGAAACAGTTGCGCCATGGGAAAAAGAGATCATTTCTGATCCTAGTACCCCGAAGCCTAATCCAGAGCCATTTGTACACTATCCTCAGGGAAAAACTGATGTGAGTTTGTACTACTTATTTTTTTCACGGAACACCATGCATTGATGATATTGACTTCCCTAATTTTGTTTTTACAGCATTATTTTGAGATGCAAGATGGGGTAGTCCATGTGTTTCCAAATAAGGATGGTAAGATCCTGAGAATTCAAATTCTAATGCTTTTTTGTCCTGTACCCATAAAAGTTGATTTGGTTACATTCCTTCGCTTTTCAAACAACTGATCTGTGTTCTGTTTCATTGTTCTCAGCAAAAGAAGAGCTCTTCCCGGTAGCTGACGCCACAGCGTTTTTCACCGACTTGCATCACATACTCAAAGTCATAGCTGCAGGAAACATGCGGACTTTGTGTCATCGTCGACTAGTGCTCCTCGAACAGGTTTAGTTAGAGAAGAGTTAATTTCAATTATCAAGTTCTATATTGGTAACGCTATGATTTTCTGTGTTTCAGAAATTTAATCTTCATTTGATGCTTAATGCGGATAAAGAATTCCTTGCCCAAAAAAGTGCACCACATCGTGACTTTTATAATGTTAGGAAAGTCGACACTCATGTTCACCATTCAGCTTGCATGAACCAGAAACACCTTTTAAGGTTTATCAAGTCAAAGCTCCGGAAAGAGCCCGATGAGGTAACAATTGGAGCCATATGTTTTAGGAGACTATACAATTCATGGATTTGCAGATATGATAACTTTTTGCTCCTCTATACAGGTTGTCATATTCCGAGATGGAACATACTTGACCTTGAAAGAAGTTTTTGAGAGCCTGGATCTTACTGGGTAATATACATTTCCAGTTTTTAAAAATTACAACTTAGTCAATCTAAATGATATGGCTGCAAGACCGTTAAATTACTCTCTTAGGAGCCTCCTGGTTGTTATGCAGATTATCTGTATTACGTTTCCCCCCTCATTTTACCATTATGCTGAAGAAATGAACGTTCTTCTCCTTGTTTGAACTTTGCACAGATATGACCTGAACGTCGACCTTTTGGATGTTCATGCAGACAAGAGTACCTTTCATCGCTTTGACAAGTTCAACCTTAAGTACAATCCCTGCGGTCAGAGTAGGCTTAGGGAAATTTTCCTTAAACAGGATAACCTCATCCAAGGTAATTGAATATCTTAGTCACTCTTACCACCATTTTTAGTTCAATTGTTGCATCAGTTAGGAGCTTGCTATATCCCTTCTACATGTTATTTACTTTACATTGTGAATCTATATAAAGAAATATGTTGGCGGTTGTGATTCCCAGATAAGCTCTTGACATTTTTTTTTGGTAATGTTTCAGGTCGTTTTCTTGGTGAGATAACAAAGCAAGTTATCTCGGATCTTGAAGCTAGCAAATATCAGGTAAACGCCACGTGCATTTTAAACAAAGAGACTTAGGATTTTGATAATTGTATTCCTCCAACACCCCCTTACCCAAAGCCAGATAAAATCTTAACCACTCTTCCATTTCTTGCTGCATATGCTATATAGACAGAGAGCATAACTACATGAAACCTTAATTACTTTACTATACTGTGTAAAAGACTAATAATAGTAAAAGGCCTGGGGTTTTTAGTCTCACTGACCGTATCTAACACCCACTTTCTTTCTTTTACTTAAAGTTAACTTTCTTTGTGCTAATCTGCTACACATGGACTTTTCTGAAAACAAATTTCATGGCATTGTGCTCAATTTCTGTGTTAAGGAATCTTTCTTGCCATAGCAGATTCATAATTGCTCTGTATTGTTTTTCCTGATGCGTACTTTGAATGCTGCAGATGGCTGAATACAGAATATCTATATACGGCAGAAAAATGAGCGAGTGGGACCAACTGGCTAGTTGGATTGTGAACAATGATCTATACAGTGAGAATGTTGTCTGGTTAATTCAGGTTGGCCATCTCTTTGATGCTTTTGCGCTCTGTGTCCAATCCATGAGTGTATGTCTGCTTGTCACATGACTGCTAACTGAGCTATATTTTCCTCCTTTATGGTTGTGTTCTCATTAGCTCCCACGACTGTACAACATCTACAAGGACATGGGTATTGTGACATCTTTCCAGAATATTCTTGATAATATATTCATTCCTCTGTTTGAAGCCACGGTAGATCCCGATTCACATCCACAGCTCCATGTTTTCTTGAAGAAGGTTAGCATCTGTATCTGCAGAGAACCTCTAATCTGCATGTCTTTCAACTATTAAAGAGTTTGGTTAACTGATTGCTGTCTC